TTTTTTTCCTTTTTTTTTTTTTTTTTTGGCAGTTAAAATTGTACTGTTTTGCATTGTTACTTATTTTACATATCATTGCCTTCTTTTCCCAATGAGATTTTATTCCTGAAGCTAGTAATACTTCACATTTCATCACACCCTCTAGTGACTGAGTTTTTACATACCTATTATAGACACTTAAATATTTGAATGAATTTAACCTACAGCAAACATAGTGAGGGAAAATGTCTTTAAGAAAAAATTCATATGATGCAATTCAAATTATACAATTTGATCAATTTATGGATCATTATTATGACTTTGATTTCTATGGGTAATCAAGAGTTGATTGTATAGCAGAATGAATAAGATACTGATATATGAGTCTTATAAACTTTTCGGCTTTTATTTGGAATTTTAAGGTATTGAGTTAATTGGATTTGTTAAATCAAACTTTTTTGTTTAAAGTTATTTTTCAAAATGGAAAATTCTTTTTTGGATTTTAAAAGAAAATACTCATCTAAGATAAAAGGCAAGTCTACAAAGTAGAAATTGCACAGTACTAATATTTCTATATTGTTGTCAGACACTCATTTTATAAGCATCTTTACCATTCGTAAATTAAGTAGGTATACCAATGTGATTAAATACAAAGCTTAGTCACTAAAAATGCAAGTTATTCATTATTTTGGAAGCAAACTTCAGTGGAATCATGTTTTTAGTTTTGCTGATTAATAAATTTAGCTTTATTATCAGACTTGAAGCCAGTGTTTCTGTTTCTTTCATTGTTTGCTGGCAACTTTTGGCACAACCCAGGGCTATAGTAGAAAAAACTATAGCAGGAAAAGAAAACGAGTCAAGGTTGCATTGCTTTAATCTGGAATTAGAAAAATTGAAAACTTACAAAATTAAGGGAATAGATGTTAGATACTGCCAAGTGGGTCTCATTGTTGAGCAGGTATCTGCTAATAACAATCCCAAATTTTAGTAGTTACCTAACAGGAGGGAGAATCCATGTTATATCTTAGTGAGTCAGATTGACTAACAAATGTATGTCTTGGCCTTCTTTGGAGGGGGGGATCAGTATAAATTTCTATGGAAGTATATAATTTTTGTGCATATCCTCACACCATAATTTAACCACTTCTTTAAAACAGAAAACATTTTGCCGTTTTTATAAAGAAGCAAAGTTCTTTTAATTCAAAAGCATTACTGTTTATTGAATAGAAATATAATAAAATGTTGAGATGAAAACACTGGGGAGAAAATAGCTCACCAATAGCTAGGTGACTTACCCTTTCAAAGCTTCCTCAGTGCTCCTCACCCCAATTCGTGCCTCCTTAATATGTCTAATAACACATTTCCTAGACCTTCCAGGTCATTTGGCATTATTAAATTATGAATTATAAAACAGCTGTCATGGACATCCTTACTTTATTATTAAAAGTTTCAGGGGGAAAATAAATGTAGCCCAATTAAGTTTTTATCAACATCTATGAATTACAATAACTAAAAACTATAGAAGGCAGTTTAATCACTTTTATATTTTAGAAGGCATTTTACCCAAGGACACATGGATGTATGTTGGTTATTACAGAGAATAAAGAAAAAAATTGAGAGACTTTAGAATTTTTTTATTATACACACTTGACTTTAAGGGAAGAAAACATAGTCAAGTAGCTGGGGTAGGAAGGCAAGGTCCAGGTACCATGGTGGTCAAAATATTTGATAGTTGGTGGCTTGAATGCCTGCTACCTAATCCAATCATGATTGAGTCTAAATAAGGTAAGAATTCTCTGGAACTGTGTTTTCCAATAGAAATATAATATGGCCTACATATGTATAATTATAAATTTTCTAGTAACCTCATTGAACAAAATAAAACACGAAATTGCCTTCAATAATATATTTAATCCAATAAATCCAAAATACTTCAATGTGCAATCAATATTTTTTAAAAGTTAAGAAATGCTTTACATTTTTTGTGTGCTAAGTCTGAAATTCAGTGTGTATTACACGTAAAGCACATCTCAATTTGGACTTAGCCACATTTCAGGTTCTTGATAGCTGCATGTGGCTAATGACTGTACTGGACAGTGTTTCTCTGGAACATCTAGGCTTTGTGTGCCCATGACATTGAGAAATAGAACTTACCTTGTATCTAGTGTAAAATAAGCTACAGACCTTAGACCAGGGGTGGGGAACGTCCGGCTTATGGGCCATATCATTTGGTCTGGTCCTGCCAAGGCAACTGCAGGTGGAACTTGAAATTCAATAAATCTAGGAGCTTTTTTCATAGCTAATTTTTAAGTTGGTAATTTTGTATGGCCTGTGAATGATGCTATAAATATCCAAATGGCCCTTGGCAGAAAAAAAGTTTCCCCACCCCTGCCTTAGAGGCTACCTACATCTGTGCTGGCCAAGTAAGCCTGTAATCTAGGCTAGTTTGAGGACTAGCCATTTGCATAATCAGGATGAATACTTTTTATTTAGTTTAATCATCGTTTGGTAAAACATTCATGCATTTCTGTACTTTTTCTGTAGGTGTGATTCTTTTGCCTATGGTCAAGCATATTCTGCCACATCTAAATTCTATAAATATTTTATGTAATACAAAGAAAAATAGTTTTATTTTTATGATCACTTGCTAGAAGAAAATCAGATCTAGAAATCTGTGACTTTTTATGTATTCTGAACTTTATTAAGAAAACTGATAATGGATACCTTACTCTTTACAATGTTATTTTAAATAATTGGGACTGTCATAATCTGATTTGCATTTTCTTTTGTATTTTAAGGATATGGAATATTATCTTGTAAAGTGGAAAGGATGGCCAGATTCTACAAATACTTGGGAACCTTTACAAAATCTCAAGTGCCCATTACTACTTCAGCAATTCTCTAATGACAAGCATAATTATTTATCTCGGGTAAAGAAAGGCAAAGCAATAACTCTAAACAGTAACAAAGCTTTGAAACCTGCCATTGCTGAATACATTGTAAAGAAGGCTAAACAAAGGATAGCTCTGCAGAGATGGCAAGATGAACTCAACAGAAGAAAAAATCATAAAGGAATGATTTTTGTTGAAAATACTGTTGACTTAGAGGGCCCACCTTCAGACTTCTACTACATTAATGAATACAAACCCACTCCTGGAATCAGCTTAGTAAATGAAGCTACCTTTGGTTGTTCATGCACAGATTGCTTCTTTGAGAAATGCTGTCCTGCTGAAGCTGGAGTTCTTTTGGCTTATAATAAAAACCAACAAATTAAAATCCCACCTGGTACCCCTATTTATGAATGCAACTCAAGATGTCAGTGTGGACCCGATTGTCCCAATAGGATTGTACAAAAAGGCACACAGTATTCACTTTGCATCTTTCGAACTAGCAATGGCTGTGGCTGGGGTGTAAAAACCCTTGTGAAGATTAAAAGAATGAGTTTTGTAATGGAATATGTTGGAGAGGTACGTTCGTTCAACTTATCACATAGTAAATAATGTCTGTGGAAGGTTTACACTTTTGGAAAGTTACCTTTTTACCTCAGTAACAAATATTTGGTAAATTTTTATATCATTTACAAATAAAGGGTACACTAGCATAGTTAGGAATATAAACTTGAATAATATATATATATGAAATACAGTCATCTGTCAGTGAACACCCATTTATAGTCAATGGAAGTGGCACTTGTAAATTTTTTTTTTAAATACATCTTTATTTCAGAAAGAGAAAGGGGAGAGGGAGAGAGAGATAGAAACATCAATGATGAGAGAGTCATTGATCGGCTGCCTCCTGCACGCCCCCGACTGGGGATGGAGCCTGCAACCCAGGCATGTGCCCCAACTGGGAATTGAACCGTGATCTCCTGGATCCTAGGTCGATGCTCAACCACTGAGCCACGCCCGGCCGGGTGGCATTTATAAATTTTAAAATATGACAACTATTTTTACACAAAATTTCTAAGAAGAAAATCAGATCTAAACACAGTGTGCTGACTCTGAAGCTTTTAAATTATAATTTAGTTCATTCATTTGACCAAATATTGGTTATGTATTTGCCAAAACTCAATTTTGTCTCAACTTGAAAGATACTGTAGAGTAGGCCAGTGCTTTATGAGCAGGTGTTGTAGGATAAACATAAAAGCATTTATTTTGTCCATAAGAAAATCCAAACTCTTTTTATCTGTAACTCAGCTACAGACTATTTTCTACATTACCAAATACTAAACAAATTTATTTTTATCCATATAATGTGTATATGTATATAAAAGTAGTATTTCTCATGTGCCACTTACTATTCTAAGCACCTTATGTATTAATACACTAATTTTCTCAATTCTGAGATAATGGTATCATCTCCATTGTTATAGGCTAGGAAACTAAGTACCTTCCTCAAGGTCACATAGTAGTCAAGAAGAGCCAGGATTCAAAACCAAGACTCCAGAGTCAGTGCACTTCACCACTGCTACACTTCCTCAAACTGAAGGGTGGGTTACACAGTGACTAGAGAAATACAAGTATGACTGCATATCTGGGGCTTTCAAATCTGACATTTTAGAAGTTGTTTGGAATTGGATCACCTAATTTTGAGATTAAATGGATCCCTATATTGATCCTTATATGTTTAGACAATGGCAGATGATTATAAATCACTGTTTAGGATACTAGATCTTGTATAATTCAGTTATCTTTTTGATAACTGCTTAATGAATGCAGCAGTTAATTTTGGTTGACACCATAAATCACTGTAGACATGTTTTATTTCTTAAGCTGAGCATGTGGTAAAGCTGTGTTAAGAGCAGAACTGCAGGTGATGCATTTTGAGCTGTCGAATTTCATGGAAACGACCTATTCTTATAAAACGAAACTTTCCATACAGTTGAATGCAAATTTAACATACCATCTCTTCTGTATTTATAATAAATTTCTGTTTGTTACTGCACATAGATTAGTTCTAGGAAAACATCTCTTTGGAGCACATATACTTGTAACTTAGTGCTTTGCATTCTGTTATGTCCAATGGAGAGCAATAGTTGTGTAGCTTTTTGAACATCTCAATAGATTAGAATAAAAGTAGTACATGGTTTCAACTTGTTAATTGCTGAGTTGTCCTAATTCCTATTTAAATAGTTATAATTCTTTTGCACCATCATTTCTCCTCCCTTTATTTTCCCACCTCATTCTGTCTAGCTCTTCTGGAGTCATTTGCGTGAATGTATGTTTTGATGACACTTTAATTTCTTTTTAAACATTTGTAGACACTAATCTGTTAATTAATTGATTTATGGATGGAGTTTCTTCATTTCAGCAGTAGCTATATAATATACTATAGTTTTTAATTTTTAGGTAATCACAAGTGAAGAAGCTGAAAGACGTGGGCAGTTATATGACAACAAAGGAATCACATATCTCTTTGATCTGGACTATGAATCTGATGAATTCACAGTGGATGCAGCGCGATACGGAAATGTGTCTCATTTTGTGAATCACAGTGTAAGAAATACTGAAAGTATAGACAGGACTAATTAACTTAGTACTGTGTTTAATGGTTTTCCATAGTTGAGGAAATAATTACCTTTGAACCACAAGCCTTTTAAATATTTCCAAAGTATTTTAGTACAAGGGCTTCTTCTGTTAAGTCATGGTAACTATTGCTGTATTAGGAAAATTCAAAATGCAAATACCATGCATTTTGCAAGTCTTTACATATGTTACTTCATTTAAACTTTCCAACAACTTTATAAGATAGGTATTATCCTCATTGAAGAGGAAATAATGAGGAGAGGAGTTAAGAGGTAGAAAGTTTAAGGAACACATACAACTATATAGGTTTCTTATAGAAGTTAACACATTTATATTTTAGGATATACAACTAAAGATAGTTGTGTTCTCTTAAAATGTAAACAGGTTAACATTTTTATACGATTTATGAATTTGTGGAGTATTGAAGTATTTAGGACTAGTTTTCTAAATTATAAGTTAGTATTCTTAATTTGTGTTGGAACTTAGAATACAGCTGGAGCCTTAACTCCAGAATCTTATACTCTAAAAACTATTTCCAAAAATAAGGGAAGTTAAAATTATTGAGCATCTACTAGTATTAGTAGTGCTAGTATACTAGTATACTAAGAGTACTAGTATTAGTCTTGTGAGATTGACATCTCCATTTTATAGACTACAAGGAAATGGATCTCAGACAGTAAGTTATATAGCTGACCATATAAGAAAGTAGACCGTGTTAAACTGTTGATGGATTTTACACCAAGAAACCAATTTATAATTAGTAGTGAAGTGCCAGAGGCCTTCTGACTCCCTTGTTAGATTTCTGATTTACTTAAACTTTTACTTTAATTTTGTTCTTAATAAATCTGAGGTACTCTCAAAATAGGTATATTATGTTCAAGGACAATTAAAGACTTATTTTGGTTTCTTAGTATTATTCAGTGGATCTTTATTCTTACATATTCCAGAATTTAGTGTAGAGTTCTCAATATATCAAACAATTCCAAACAAGAGTTTTAGCAATGAAACCTCATGCAGTATGAAATTTGAGTTCTGCAATGCTGACTTGATTTTTTAAATGCAGTTCTAATTCTTTAAATATGCCTTACTGAGATATTAACAGGCAAACTAATAATGTTATCTGGGATTTGCCAGTAACATTCTCCAAAAAAAATTAAAAAGTCAGGAATAGATGAAACAGGATTGGCAAAAATGTTAATAATTGTTGAACCTGAGTGGCGGATACATGTGGACTTATATTATTTTCTCTAGTTTTATGTATGTCTGAAATTTTGTATAAGTTTGAAAACAGTATTTTTAAATGTTCATATCTCAGAGACCTCTATATAATCAACTTAATTTCCAATAGATCTTAAAAACAAATACTCTGGGCAATTGAAAATTTTATATGGATGTAGAAGAGCTCATTCACATCATTTTTACTTAAATGGGTTCTAACATTCTTTTTTAGTGTGACCCAAATCTTCAGGTGTTCAATGTTTTCATTGATAACCTCGATACTCGTCTTCCCCGAATAGCATTATTTTCCACGAGAACCATAAATGCTGGAGAAGAGCTCACTTTTGATTATCAAATGAAAGGTACGGTTTTCAAGTACAGTTTTGTTGGTGCTCAGTTGTTTTACTATGAAGGATTTGTTCAAGAGTAGGAAAAGGCTTTAGATCATCTGAACCAAACTAATATTAAAAATGCAAAAAAATAAGGTTATAAGTTTCTCTTTTACTCAAGGTCTCAAAGCTAATCTGACGGCTAAACAGGAATCCAGGTCTGCCTGACCTTGAACTGAGTAATGTTAATTCTTCTACATCACGTTGCCAACTGCTTTTTTCAGAATTTCCATTATGGAAGCTTATTATAACATCTTTTCTCAATACTATTTGTATTTAAAAAATTGTAAGCCTACATTTCTGAATCTTTACTAAGAGATGGGATATTCAATAGATTGAAAATGTGATGTAAATCACACATGAACTTATTCCATTCCTACTGGAATTTGGCTTTTAAAAAAAACATTTAGTTCTATTTACTTTATTTTGTGATAAGTGTTTTCTTTCCATTGTTTTTCTAAGCATGATGCCTTTTCCATATTGTTGATTTCACTTTATGGCTCTTAAATAATGTATGAAATGAATAATTGTATATTGGATTTTCCCAGTAAGTTTCATCATTACAGAAATCCATTCTCATAAATGTGGGCTAATTACATACATCACCTCTTATTAGCCTACACCATCCTTTCAAGACAATTCATAATGATTTGTCTCTGAATTTTCACATTTATTTAAAGCTGATAGAAAATTTGAAACTCATTCTGAATTGTCTTAACTATCTTTCTCCTGTATTTCTTTTTCTACATATTCAGGTTCTGCAGATATATCTTCAGATTCTATTGACTACAGCCCAGCCAAAAAGAGAGTCAGAACTGTGTGCAAATGTGGAGCTGTGACTTGCAGAGGTTACCTCAACTGAATTTTCAGGAAATAGAGCTGAGGATAAATGTAGTTTTGGTTTTTTCTAATGTTAACATTTTAAAAAATAAATATTTGGGACTCTTTTCATATTATCAAGATTATACACTACATTAATTTACAATTCTTGTTTCAAACTATTGGCCAAAATGCATTACTTATGCTTTTGAAGAGAGGAACACAGGGTCACATAGACTAATTTAAAGCATACCTAATTAGTGGTTAGCTACCAAACAAGAAAGGAAAACTATTACAGGTCAGCATATACGTACTTAAGAAGTCTATGTGAATAGAGAAATGCCTCCATCAGTGTTTTAAGTGTTAAACTGAGAATGTCACAGTCGCTGAGATCAAACATTCAACTTGCTGTATACTTTGAATTTAGAGAAACAGTTAATTCAGTTTGGCCAAATATACAAAGTTCTATTTTTGTTATTATGCTGTCATTCCTGTTTACCTATTTATTACTATAAATACTGTACTTGTATTGGAGACAAATAAGTGATACTGAATTAAACCCTATTTTCTACTTCTTTCATTAAAACATTGAGAGCTTAATGATACTGAAATTTAAGGTCTAAAATTAAATGTGAAAAAAGTTAATTACAGCTTGATTTCATATTTTGAAGCAATTTAGACCATTACTGAAGGCTCTATGTTTGAACCAGTAATTCTTAAAGGTTTTTTAATCCTGTGGAAGGAAAATCTCCAAAAAGTTCTAAAATTCTAGAATGGGTGGGCATTATGCCTCTTGGAAATGATACAGCGGTGGGACCAGAAAGGTTTTTTTGAAGTACAAGGCAGGGGAAATGGAGTGCTTTAAGGGTACCTTTCAAAAGCATGAATTTGGAGATTCATGTTGTATTCTTCTGGTCTAAACAGTAAAACAAGATACGAGAGCAGCTGTACGTAGTATAACATTACCATTACATTTTCAGATTTTCACGCTGTTTGAACATTTCCTTTTCACTAAATTTAACTATTTTTATATTTCCTACAAGCTCTTCTTTAAAAATAATCTATATTTTGAACTGATACCTATTTTATATATGGATTTTTAAAATGTGATAAAGCTAAACTTGGCCTGGCCAAAGTGTGTGCCTGAATTATGAGACCATTTATTACTTGAACTATGAAGACTGAAATGGAATATATTCATTGTTGGTTTTCTTTGTTTTCCTGCATAGTAAAACCTCAATCAGAAAAAATGTGTTTTCATCTCTTTCTGATTCTGGGTTTTCTAATCATGGTGTCCAGTGATTTACCATAAAGGTAAATGCAGCAAATTAATCTGGCTTTCAGCATTCCTAAGCTCATTGCCCTAAGCTTTAATGACCTAAAATAAGCTTGGGTAAAACTGAACTGACATCACAAATGCAGCATTTCAAATATCTTCATAATCCTTAACCTCTTTTTTGGGAGAAGCTACACTTCATTATTATATTGGCATTACATGACTTTGTTCTTTCATAGTATAGGGTAAATTGTTTACATTTTTAGTGGCTCAGAGTATATCTCCTAACCAAAATTTGCAGAAGGTGTCAAGACAAAAATACAGCCCTGTCTGGTTTGGTCAGTAATTAGAGCGTCAGCCTCTGGACTGAAGGGTCCTGTGTTCGATTCCAGCCAGGGGCACATACCTCGGTTACAGGCTTGATCCTGGTCCTGGTTGGGGCGTGCGTAGGAGGCAACCAGTCGATGTGTCTCTCTCACATCGACGTTTCTCTCCCCCTGCCCCCACTCTCTATTAAAAAGCAATGGAGCCCGGCCGGGCATGGCTCAGCGGTTGAGCGTCGACCTAGGATCCAGGCGATCAGGGTTCGATTCCCAGTCAGGGTACATGCCCGGGTTGCTGGCTTGATCAGTGACTCTCTCATCATTGATGTTTCTCTCTCTCTCTCTCCCTCTCCTTTCCTCTCTCTGAAATCAGTAAAGATATATTAAAAAAAAAAAAGCAATGGAAAAAATATCCTCAGGTAAGGATAAAAAGAAAAGTAGTGCCATTTTGTATGTTTCTTTATGAAAAAAGTAATCACATGGTATCAGTGGTGAGAGAGCATCATTGATTTTACAGGTTGCTTCTAGTGGCCAAGTATTCTTTGAATTATAATTGGTAAGTTTAAAGATGTAATTTTCACATTCTTTTTAAAAAGTCTGTGTTTTATTGCCTAGTTACTTAATCTTGTCTACTTTTTGTGTTAAAAATATAAAACTAGGGCAAAGGGAAAATGGCTATTTTCAGTCAACTTGTTTTGTTATTAATACTAAATTAATGGGCCTTTGAGATTTTAACTACCTGTGTTACCCTTATGTTATTAAAAAGCTGAACTTAAGCTGTAGAATGATAGAAACTATTTAAATGAAGCTGTTAGGAGCTTTAACTATTTTAAATTAACACTTAGCTTCTTTACATTAGTTTCCTAAGTTGTCAGAATTTTTTCTCTCAATATAAAGCAAATATTGAATGGTAATATTTAGATCAAGTTTAAACTGTACAGTTGTATTAATACCATTGTTTTCAGTATCTACATATGAGGGTTGTGATACACAGTTGGTAATCTCAGGGGTTTTTTTCCATATATGCAAAATCTAGACAGCACTTATTCTGATAGCTCAACAGGGGTTTTTTAGCAAATAAATATAGTTTGGCATTTGATTTTCTATTTATCATGGGTTAGTTTTGTTTCTGAATATTTTACTGTCTTTTCCAGTAAGGCTACAAAAAGGGTAGAAAAATACTGATGTATTCCTCACTACCAGCTGTTGAGATTAACAGAGGTTTATATACCATTCCTTTCAATGTTACATTCCTTTTTTAAAAGTTTATTGTCATGGTTCGTGCATTTGGATATTAAAGTATAATTTTACACTTAGCATAATGTGGATGGATATTTCTAAAATTTTTTTAAGCGTTATTAGTCACCAGCTATTTAAACCAATTTCACTAAGTACTACCTAGAACTGCAAATTTTAGAATTAGAATGAATATTCCTTGAGCAAGTCTTAGGCCTTTATATGTACTCATGTGCTTCTCATAAATCTATGAGGTTGGTGCTGTCATCCCTACAGTACACCAAAGGAACTAGGTTTAGACTCATTAGGTAATATTAACATGCCCAAGATCACCCAGCTAAGAGGCAGTAAACTATACCTATGTGTAATTAATTTAACCAACTTTAGGCACAATTTTTTAAAAATCAGTTTTCTATTAAACTTTAGTCTTAGATTCCTCTCAAAGGCAAATGTGGCTAGCCACTGGGCTTCTTCTGTGATATATCTTTGCATTTCAAAATTTTTTTGCCTTTCCAGTATTTTATAGTTCTTGAAATAAAAAAATTAAGTAGTCCCTATAATTAATCCTGCCCACTGTTAAGCTTTTTGAGAGTCTTATTGCATAGTGATTGAGAGCATGGACTTTGGGGCCTGAATTGCCTTTTTTTCAGTCCTGGCTTCACCCTTTCCTAGTTATATGAACTAACCTCTCTGTGCCTTAGCCTCCTCATCTATGAATGGAGATAATAAATGTATTTACATACCTCAAAGGGTATTGTGAGGATTAAAGGAGGAAATATACAGCGTGTAAAAGAATTAAGCATCACAGAGTAAGGACCATATGTATTAGCTATAATTATTCTGTACTTCAGGTACAGAGTATAAACCTATACTTTAACATCTTTTATGATCACTACAACCGTTTTGATCAAAGTCTGTTCTAGTGCTCTTAGTCCTTAAATTCAGCCAGCATTTATTATGCCAGACTCACATATAAAACAATGAAAATATGACAGTATATAATATTAAATTGATGGTGTTATTATAAAATGCTAAGAATATATTCAGAAGAATGTTTAAAGCCATGTTTTGACCACCCCCACCCCCCCCTTGGATCATAAACTATACTGTTAAGATGAAGTCTTAAGTGTCAGTATACAAATGTATGTGTTTGATGACATGATTTATGATAATGAATTATAACTAATTTTTAGAGCTATAAGCAAAATATGAAGCCTCTGGGTTTGGGTAATGGGCCTATTATAGATACAACCAGATATTCAACCAATGATTTGCAATCCTTATTGGTTGTCTCCAAAGCTTTTATATTCTCTTGGAATTTAGGAAATAGTACTCAGATGGGAGTGGGCAAAATGGAATGACTACAACTCTAATCCTGCTCCTCATACTGAGTCTACAGAGTGTATTTCATCTAAAGCTCAGAGCAGCAGCTGAGCTAGAAAAAAGGGGTCAGTGTTTGTTCCCTTAAAACTCTTTGTATCCTTTATATTCCTTTGCCCCAGGTACCTTACTATGCTCAGACCATTCCCCATTGGCATACATATTAATAAGACTTACCGTTGAGTAATTTAGGGTAGAGACACTTCCCTAAAATTGTGACCCAACCTGTCCTCAAAGACCAGTCAGAAATGACCAGGCCCTTACTCTCAGCCCTATCCCTTAATGACCATGTCAGTTTCTTCCCCTGAACCTTCCTCTTATGCCAGTTTAGCAGTCTAGCTGTCACTGTCCAGTTTTCCCCCATGTAAATCGACAGGCAAATCTGTCCTAACACATATCCTTCTGGAGAAATGACAAGGCTGGCTTCCTCTGAGTACCCTGTTTATGTTCCTCTCCCACTAACTCTAAGTCTTGTAACCCTAATTAGTCTTGTGGGTCCAATACTTACTGTTGGACTAATTATCTTGCAGCATGGTGATAATGCATATCATTGTTAGTATAAGTGATCTACAAATTGTTTTAGAGACTTCATTTAAACTAGTTTCAAGTGAAATCTGCTTTTGCTGCCTTAATCTACAAAATGTCAGCATACCAAAGTGATTAATATATTTAAAAACTTTATTAAATACATACATATAACTGCAAAAGCATATCCTATTGATGGAATTTAGAAAAGTTGAATGACTCACAGAACACACATATACTTTTGCAATTTAATTATTTTCTTTTGGTCCTAATTTTTCTGGTTTTAATTTTACCACTGTATTCACACCAACGTTCTTAAATGGTGTAGCATCTTTTGAGGTAAGTAGGGGGCTGAGTTTTCCTATAGCCATCAGTTTACAGTAATAGGTCCAAATTTATTCTTTCAGTTTGAAGTATTCCTATGACCCAGGATATGGTCTATCTTGGTGAATGTCCCATGTACTCTTGCAAGACATGTATTCTGTTGTTGGATGGAGTATCAATTGGATCCAGTTGGTTGATGGGTCCTATTCACATCTTCTCTATTGTTGCTGATTTTTCATAAGCTAATTGTTACTGTGAGAGAAATGTTCAAGTTCCAGCTATAACCGTGCATTAGTCGGTCTTTCTCCTTCAGTTATTTGTGCTTTGTACAAGCATACCTCGTTTTATTGCGCTTCACAGATCACACATTCTCAATAACATCAAGGCAAGACCCTCTACCAGCAAAAGGGTTATAACTTGCTGAAGACTCAGATGATGGTTAGCATTTTTTAGCAATAAAGTATTTTTGTTGGGTTATTTTTTAGGCATAATGCTATTGCATACTTAATAGATTATGATATAATGTAAACATAACTTTTATGTGCACTGGGAAACCAAAAAATTCATGTGACTTGCATTATTGCAATTTTTGCTTTGTTGCAGTGGTCTGGAACTAAACCTGCAACATCTCTGAGGTATGCCTGTATATTTTGAAGCTGATTTTAGATACTTACACATTTAAAATTATATCTTCTTGGTGAACTGTACCTTTTATAGACACTCCAACTGTCTTTTAAGTAGTGTTTACATGGTATATCTTCCATACTTTTACTTTTAACCAACCTATACCATGTGAAGAGAGTTGCTTATAGACAGCATATAGCTGGGGTTTGTTTTATTTTTCCTATCTTTTCATCAGTGTGTTTAGACCATTTAATGTAATTATTGATCTATTTGGATTCAGTCCTACCATATCTTAGGTGTTTTCTGTTTTTTCCCCTCTATTTTTTGTTCCTGTTTCTCCTTTCTGCCGCCTTTTAGGTTATATGAGCATTTTAATTTAAGAGTTTGACTATTACCTCTTTGTATACGTTTTTTAGTGGTGGCTCTAGAAGGAATTCTTAAGTATCTAAGAGTGAGCTTTTTCTTTTTGCAAGTACTATGCTCTCTCCTGTTGCCAGCTTCTCATATAAATACTGTAAATGCTCTTGTTTTGGTAGCTCAGCTTCTGGAGTTGAGGGAATTTCAAAATCAGAGGAGCTCTGTGAATCTGCATTGTTGCTAATAGTTAGCAACCTTCTTTCCTGAGGTATGTGTTTCCCACTGCTTACAGTAGTTGGTTCTCCAACACTAGAAACTACATTTACATCTTCAGAGTAAGTGTCCTTTAGGCAAAGTACATTTTGTTCCATCTGAGAGGCAGGAAGATTCTCCTTGATTCTTGGTCTGTAACCATCTTTGTTTAAGGAGGTAATATCCCCACTGTTTCTCTCTTGGGAAGATAACAAAACAGTGTCAGACTGGCTGTCCCAGCCTTGACTTCCTTGTTCTGAGATGTGTGTGGACTGAGAGGAATTCTGAGAAGAGATGTGAGTTGACTCGCCATCAGAGTCATTGAAAAGCTTTGGTGACTGAGAGCCCCCTGCCTCTGTGGAGGAACAGAAGTTTTCCAAACTGTCATCTGGGATGTCACCATTTCTTTTAAAGAATACTTCCCACTGTGGTACTTCCACATTGGCCTTTTGCTGGTGATGTGTGAGAGGACTCGGATCTCCTTGAGATGAGGCTGGGATTTGTAATTCTTCTTCACTTTCACTGTTGGATTCTTCACAATCTATAAAGTTTGCCCAAAGAGGTGTTTTTATGCTCTTTGCTTCAATGCATCCTGTGCTTTGTCTCAGTTTTTCAGGCTGGTCTTGTGATACTGTAGTCATGGGAAATACCTCAGGGTAAAGAGTTTGCTGGTTTGGAACTTTGTGCCTTAAAGGTACTGGCAGAGGATCATCAAAGAGGTCATCTTCCTCCTCCCCCTCATCTGGGGACAAACAAAACAGGTGTATAAGGTAGAATGCAAAAGTAGCCAATTTGTGCTTTTAATTAAAAATCCTACTTGCAGCTTTTAGCTAAGTTTTTAATTCATGGAATTGCATGTAATAGGGAGTTTACTCTCCCAAGAGCAATTAAAAGGCCCCTTATTGCCTGGCTGGGCGTGGCTCAGTTGTTGAGCATCGACCTAGAATCCGGGTGATCGTGGTTCAGTTCCTGGTCAGGGCGCATGCCTGGGTTACAGGCTTGATCCCTAGTCGGGAGTGTACAGGAGGCAGCCGATTAATGACTCTCTCATCATTGATGTTTCTATCTCTCTCCCTCCCCCCCTTCCTTTCTCTGAAATCAATAAAGGCCTTTTTTTTTTTTTTTAAATAAAGGCCCCTTATTCTTGGGATATTCTGAACAATTTACCACTCTTCAACTTATAATGTCAGACAATGAGTTGAGAATATAGACCTGGTTCCCCAAATTAAGGTCACTATACCTGCATTAGTGGTTCTCAAGCCTGGTTGATCATTAGCATCATATGGAAAGCTTTTTAAAAAAAAAACGAACAGCTTTCTATATCTCATTCCAGACCTACTGAATCCCTTAAGGTAGGACCCAATAATTTGGTTTCTGCTTTGTTTAAGTTCTGCAGCTGATTATGATCATCAGCCAACTTTGTGAACTACTCAGACTAGAAGAGAGGTTTGCAAATACTAGATGCTCAAGTACACTGATTTAATACAATGACAACAGTTCATTATTTTCTAAAGTTTTTCTTCTCTAAACATTTTATTGATACCTACTTTGTGTTTGTTATGAGCTGAATGTTTGTGCCCTCCCAAAATTCATAATTTGAAGCTTTAACCCCACTGTGATGCTATTTGGAGGTGGGAAGACCTTCAGAAGATAATTAGGTTTAGATGCGCTTTGCAGGTGGGACGAACACGACAGGATTAGTGTCCTTATAAAAAGAGGAAGGCAGATTTCTCAAAGCCCATTCACAAAGGAAAGGCCTGTGAGCACAAAGTGAGAAGGCAGCTGTCTACAGGCCAGGAAGAGGGCCCTCACCAAGAACCAAATCTGTCAGCACCTTGATCTTGGACATCCCAGCCTCTAGAACTGTGAGCAGTAAATGTCTATTGTTTAAGTCACCTAGTCTATGGTATTTGTTATAGCAACCACAGCTGGCCAGTTCACAAGGCTGTGATAGATACCAGGGAAAAAACACAAATTAAATCAACGTTAACCAAAATACTAAATAAACCGCATGTATAGTCAAGAAAAGTCAACAAAATTCATTCTGATTTTCTAAGCATGTGGAATTAGTACTTAGTGAGCCCAGTCCACTTAAATTCTTAAAATGAAACCTTACTGGGAGAATGAAATTCATACTATATGAAATTTACATAAAATAATAAGGCACAGAATTGGGAAAACAAATATTTTACTGCCCTGTAATAGCACCTAACCTAAGGAAATTAAATGTTGATGAGACTACTTTTTGTTCTAGTGCTGAATCTGATGTTAACTTACAAATACCTACCACTTAAAAAGGATAACCATTTTCCCAGTGATCTAAAGGATGTAGCTAAACACTATAGTTTTTAAAGCCACTAAAAAGATGGACCATCATCTTTTGGCCAGATCATCATCCGGCTCCCATTTTACCAATGAGGGGACAGGCCCAGAGAAGGTATGTGATAATGCAAAGGTCAAAAAACTAGATAGGTGCCTGGCGAGTGTGGCTTGGTTGGGCAACATCCTGTGTGCCAAAAGGTTGCCAGTTTGATTCCTGATCAGGGCTCATGCCCAGGTTGCAGGCTCAATCCCTGGTAGGGGGCATGCAGGAGGCAGCTGATCAATATTTCACTCTTTTACTCTCTCTCTAAAAAATCAATAAAAAACAAACCAAAAAAAAAACCAACTAGATAGGCAGAGCCAGGTATCAAACCTAATTCCTAAAGTCCCATGTTCTATTATGATTAATAATTGTTTAAACAAGCAACTATTTATCTTACCCTTTCCAAAGGGCTTAAGGTGACTGAGATATACAGCTACTGTATTTAGAATCATCATAGTCTACAAGGCATGGCTTTAAACAAATTATACATTTGTTTTAGCTCTCTTCCGCTGTTGTGCCAAAGCTACCTTTTTATGAAATGCTTCTGTATCATCTCTAAGTTGGACAGTTTCATGTTCTTCTGGATCTGTGACTATACCAGCATCATGGTATGTTTCAACTGTAAAATACTTCAATCTGTCGAAACATTTTCACATTAACTCACCTGTATGCATCTGAAACAAGTAGTTTCTATACTATTAGAAGTTTATTCTGATATTGTGTATTCTTTCTGTTAAAACAACGTAAATTTAACCCTAGCCAGTGTTGCTAAATTGGTTAAGCACCATCCCATGCACCAAAAGATCACGGGTTCAATTCCTGGTCAGGGCACATGCTGGGGTTGCAGGCTTGATTCCCAGTAAGGGGCGTGCAGGAAGCAGCTGATCAATGTTTCTCCCCCTCTAACCCTCTCCCTTCTTCTCTCTCTAAAATCAGTTGTAAAAAACATTTTAAAATATATATATAAATTTAAATTTCTCTAAATGAAAATGGAAAGACAACACTGAGAAAATCCTTAATAGTGTTTACAAACTCATATTCCTAAACCCAATTTAAAAAGGGACAAACGTCAAATAATTCATAGATATTGTCCACCAACATGCACTGCTCATGTCTGTATAAATTGGTGTAATTGTACTAGAGGACAATTTGGCTATGTATCAAGCACTTAAATTTCTAAAATGTAGCCCAATATAATGAAAAAACTGAAATAGTCTTAACCCTTTGCTGTCGTATTAAATTTGGACATGGGTGTCGTACTGGTCGGAATTAAGAGCTTTTAGAGAAATTATGAACTGATACATGAATGAATAGAGTTAAGATTCGTACGGTTCCTTGCTGTGGTGGCTGAGAGCAGACATACGACTGGAATGGTAAAAAAGCTTCGGTGGCTGAGAGTAGACAAACGACCGCAAAGGGTTACTATGTGATGAACAACACTACGTTATCTGTAAAATTGAAAAGTTAGAAATAACCTAAATGTATGACAAAGAATAAATAAATACACCATTATCTAGTCATAATGCAAAGTATATAGCCATTAAATTGGCATTTATGAATAACAAAAATTTTGCAATAAAAAGTTTGTGTATGTTTGTGCATACACGCATGTATATACAGTGATCCAAGCTGCTTTATAGCCTGCATACAACTATACAGTGTATTTGTGAGACTACTTAAATACTCACACTACTTAGTAAGCTGCCCTTGTTGTAAACCCCAAAGTGTCCTTCTTGCCCTCTTCCCCCACTGCCCTGGTTTCTACTTCCTGTCCACCTCTGCACAATCCAACAACTAAGAGTCTTACACAACTAAAGAACTTTAGGACACTGCTTTTGCACTACAGTTACTATTCTCATTGGTGCCTACAAAAATGTTGGTTTTTAAATATTTTCAATATCCACCCCTTTGAGTTTGGTGGATATTTATATAAATGAATAAGGAAAAATAAAATACATTGAAATGCTAATTTAGAGTCATGTGGTTCTACATAATTTTTCTAAATTATCTAGTGAGTGTATACTACTTTTTAAGAATAAAAACAGTCCTTTTTAAAAACTGTCTATTAGTGGTTAACTATTAAATTATATAAAGATGAAACATCAATACTAGGAGCTCTACTAAAATGCTTTTTTAAAAAGTCTAAGAATGATTTCTGTTCTTGCATCTCAGATTCTAACACAGGAATAACAAATCTTAAAGCAACTGATTTAATGCCACATGCATATTAACACTAACTTGCATCAAGAAAATATGTTAAGAACTAAAGAACCTGACAGACTGGTCAACACACTGGTAGAGATCACCAGAGACTGTAAAGCACACAGGACATAATAAGAATTATAAAGTCAATGACATGTGAACTAAAGTAAACAATGATGATACCTATAGCTCACAAAAGTCATCTAAAAACATCTAAAGAGACTGCCCGGCAGGGCGTGGCTCAGTGGTTGAGCGTCGACCTAGGATCCAAGCGATCGGTGTTCGATTCCCGGTCAGGGCACATGCCCGGGTTGTGGGCTGCAGCTGATCAATGACTCTCTCATCATTGATGTTTCTATCTCTCTCTCCCTCTCCTTTCCCCTCTCTGAAATCAATAAAGATATATTTTTAAAAAATTAAATTAAATTAAAATAAAAACATCTAAAGAGACTGACACCAAAGGATTGTGGAAAGATCTATATCCGTACAAATAATTTAAAAGCTATCAAAATTCCTATATTAATAAGGAATAAAAAGGCTAAGGAATCTAGAAGGAACAAAATCAAAGCTAACAAAAATGAAAAAGCAAAAACAAAATGGCAGTAAACAATAACTGAAAAACTCTTACACCAGTGGCCCAATCAGAAATCTAGCATCATTTGGGAAGTGCACTGAAGATACAAATTAAGTTCTCAAAAATTTTTAAAGATTTCTACCTGCAGCCAAGAAAGAAACAGGGGCTAGATTGAAATTCTCACCTAAAACTACTAAAAGCAAAACAAAATATAAGAAGAAGGATCTAAAGAAATTGGACATCAGGCAATGAAACCTGAGAAATGTGAAACAAATGAAGTGAGCCCTGAGACTGCCCCAGCTTACTGGTTCCAGGCAAAAGGGTACACCAAGTTAGAGCCCATCAGGATCCCTGGATTGCAGTATAACTGGGAAACTGAAGAAGCTGGAGTTCTCAGAGGACAAAGCAATAGAGTTGCTGCTCCCAGAGGCTGCAGAGGTTCCCCCTGAGTATTCAGCATACTGATCATTGTATGCTTGTGATGCAGTGCATCCCCAGAGGCCTGGGAAAGAATCACTAGAAAGAATGAAAGGAAACAGTTCCTAGAATGCACACAGCACTAGGGACAGTGCCTATTCCCAACAGCCAGACTGGAACACAA